TGTTAGTGTCTGTTAATGCCAGAGATTATGTCAACAAAAAGAAGTGATATGTTAAGAAATGTGCATCCTTGGTTAATGGGGAACCTCTGATTTCCGATTAAAGAAACAAAACGAAACAGAATTTCATATTTATTTGATGATTTCCAATTTTCTTGTTACAACATACAGCCTAGATGTTACAGTGAATTTCGCTCAGCAGCGCTCTTTATTAACAAACACAAAGGAATATATTCTCTAGTTCTTTGCAATATATGAAATTGTAAACCCCCAAGCGTCTTCCCTCTGTAACAGGCCAAATATAACAGGCATTTGTTTCCTTGTAGTACAGTTTAAACTGAAAGAATATGGTGAAGTGTCTGGTTTTGTTAATTACACAGAAGGATACTGAACTGTTCGTACCATGAATGTGGAAACGTGTTTTACTTTTGGGATGCTGGAATATTACGCAGCATACATATGGCATGCACTGTATGACGTCACACCTGAATAATAGTAAAATATTTTTTCTTTTATTAGAGATTACAGTTACAATAATTAGACCACTGCTCAGGTGAATTCTTAAATCAGAAGGTGTTGATTAATTTTCTATAACAGTACCAACCTGAGTATTTATCGCTGTAACTTTGGCCTGGGAGAAGAAACCAGAGTACCCTGCAAACTCCATGCACACCTGTAGGTGCAAGGCAAACATGCTAACCACTAAGCCACCACTGTAACATAAATCTTTATATTAATGCGTTCATTGCAATACTGTTAGTTATTGTTTCTGTAGTAACTGCTCATTCACAAGTGGAAGCTCCATTGTTATTTAACAAATAAAAGCATATAATTGTTGATATGGTTTTCTGTTAAGAGACATTTCTTTAACATTTATTGAAGGAGTCTCAATAAATGTTATTGTTATGTTATGTTATGTTATTAATTGTTGTATTTTTGATCACTTGAAAAATGGGTGGGTTCAAACAAAAGGTGCCATGTTCATGTTGTTTAACATGTCTAGATGTAAATATTGGGAAATGAAAGCTGAAATTCTGATCTATCATCTCATGTTCATCTTTTGATCTCAAACCCGAATGTCTTCAATGTATAGGAAAAACAATAGAATTGGCCTATATAAAGACCAACATAAGACCATATACAGTCAGGTCCATAAATATTGGGACAGTGACACAGTTTTGGTAATTTTGCCTCTGTACACCACCACAGTGGATTTGAAATGAAGCAGTCAAGATGTGACTGAAGCGTAGACTTTCAGCTTTAATTCAAGGGGTTTAACAAAAATATTGCATTAACCGTTTAGGAATTACAGCCATTTTTTACAGAGTTCC